TTAATGTATGTTTTAAAAGAATGTGTTAAATATGCCTATAAGACAAACTCTTTGACATTTCAGTATATGTGTTTGAACTCCTTTAGATCACTGCTAACTATGACTTACTGGAGTAGTATCTAGCATGAAGTAAGGTGGGAAGACAGCAAATAAAGTGCATGTATTCCCTACCCTTAAAGAGATTGTAATATTGGGATAAAATCATACCTACTAAGAAATAAATCTAATAGAAAATAAACTTGGCCATAAGAACATTAAAGGTGTCTCAGAACTGTTCTTATGTTATTCCTTCTGAATTATGTAGAAGACCAAATCATTAAATGTGGGTTTGATGTAGGAATTGTTTTAAAAGAATTGTAGAGTAATCAGTTTGTTTTATAGGGTGTTCTTATCGTCTCATATGAAAAGATGTTTTACTATATTTTCCTACTTACCATAATATGTTTTAAAGTGTTATTATGTTTTAGTATGTAATATTAGATACTCTGAGTTTATAGCTTAGAACTGTTTAAATATTAATAGGTCTTTTATCAATTATGAGGCTGTGGAATGTGCAGTAGTTAATTTGCTTTATTTTTCCTTTTATGATATACAGTGACAGTTATGGTACATATATTAATAATTATATAAAATTAAGAAAAGTATAATCAAACTATTTTAATTACATTACATGTGTTTTTGAAATTGCATGTAATAATTATTTTTTAATAAACATGACTATATCTAGTCTCAACTCTGATTCTGAGACACCTATTTGGTGTTCAGCAATTCAATTCAATTCTGACACTAATTATCTAGAGTTAGAGCAGATCCTCTAGGTTAAGGGCTCAGTCCCACAAGACTGCCTCTACTTCAAATGCTACTCACAAGTCCCACATTGTCATCCATACTTCTGACTGACCACTTGTTTCTATAACTCCGTCTTCAGGTTTGATATTTTGCTAGGACAACTCTCAGAACTCAGGAAAGTGTTTTACTTACTATTACTGGTTTATTATGAAGTATACAATTAAGGAACACTCAAATGGAAGAGTTATGTAGGTCAAGGTTGGGAGGGGGAACAGAGCTTCCATGTCCTCTCTGGGTGCACCATCTTTCTAGCACATCAATGTGTTCACCAACTGGAAGGCTCCCTGAATCTCAAGTCCCTCCCTCCCCTCAGGTCTAGGGGTGGAGCTGAATGTTCCTATTCTCTAATCAAGTGCCTGGTCTTTCTGGTGACCAACTCCATCCTGAAGCTATCAGCCACCAGCCACTCCACACCATATACTTAGGTGTGGTGGAAAGGGGTTTATTATGACTAACAAAAGACACTTTTATCATTTAGGAAATTCCAAGGGTTTTAGTCTCTCTCTGGCAGGAACCCAGGATAAAGACCAAATTTGTATTGATACCCTAGTAATGTAGAAAAATACATGTTGATAGAATTTTAGGTTTTAGCAATCAAGGCTTTCAGCAATTGCTGTGTGCCTATGTTAATTATCTGCCCCCAGTTTAACTTTTCAGGATAATTGCTTCTCTTTCTGAGTAGTACTATTGTAGCTGTAGCAGACTGCCTTTACTCTTGGATACTATCACTTCTTCTGTACTAGTTTAGGGGGTCCTTAGTACCTGAAGGGGTTGTACTCTAGAAGTTCATTTGTAATTTCATAGTTTTAAATTTAGAACACATTTTCTGTCAAAACAGTGAGGTAAGTGGTAAATGTTTTCAGACCAATCTATTGGCTTTGACTAGATAGGGAACTAAGTCCAAAAGAAGAAAATTGGGTGTTTCAGTGTTGAGGGTGAAGAGGTTAATAATTCTTTTGAAAAATAGGGAAAACAACAGCTTTTTTTGTTGTTTGGGGTCAGTTTATAGATGTCTAAGTGAGGAAAGATATAATGTGTTATGGGGCTGAATTGCCCCACCCCCACCCCCAAATTCATATGATAAAGCTTTGACCTGTAATGTGACTGTAGTTGGAAATAGGGCCAGTAAAGAGATAATTAAGGCTAAATGAGGTTATAAGGATGGGGCCCTCATCCAATATGACTGGTGTCCTTACAAGAAGAGAAAGATCCACCAGGAAGAGGCACACACTGAGAAAAGGCCATCTGAGGACATCACAAGGAGGTGGACATCTATAAGACAAGGAGAGAAGCCTCAGGAGAAATTAAACCTGCTGGCACCTTCTCCTTGGACTTTCAGCCTCCAGAACTACGACAAAATAAATTTCTATTGTTTAAACCACACAGTTTATGATATTTTGTTATGACAGCCCATGGCAGCCCTAGCAAACTAACATGGCATGTTATTTTAGAATAGGATCTCAACCAGTGCTCTATGAAACACTAATGTCAAGGAAATGTTAATAGATATTTCCTAAAAAGGATTCTTAACTTAATAAATTTGAGCAATAATCTGTAATCTCCTTTTAAGGATTGACAGTGCATAGTCATAATTAAACATTCTCAGAAGCTTTGAAGCAAAGAAGTTTATTTATTTTTATTCAATTTCAACATTTCCCCAATATATTTGTCTACACAACATTGTTATGAAACCAAACTGGGGTCCACTCTTCTGGCACAGCAAAGCCAGACACGGAAGCCAAGAATTGTAGTGGGAGGAAGAGACATTTTTATTGTATGGTACCATGCAAGGGTAACAGGCAGCTAGTGCTTAAGACCCAAACTCCCCTATGACTTACAAGGAAGGGTTTTCATTTTATTTTATTTTATTTTATTTTATTTTATTTTATTTTATTTTATTTTATTTTATTTTATTTTATTTTTTTGATACAGAGTTGCACTTTGTTGCCAGGGCTAGAGTGCCCTGGTGTCAGCCTACCTCACAGCAACCCCAACCCTTGGCAACTACCAATCTGCTTTCTGTCTCTATGGATTTACCTTTTCTGGATATTTCTTATGAATGTAATCATAAGTTATGACCTTTGTATCTTTCAAGCCTTGAAATTGCTTGTATTTTTTAAGCCATTTTAAAATTGTGTTGTTTTTTGTTCTTGAGTTATAAGAATTCCTTATATATTCTGGATACTAGACTCTTATCAGATATATGATTTGCATATATTTTTTCCTATTCTGTAGGTTGTCTTTTCATTTGATAATGTTCTTTGATGTACAGACGTTTTTAATTTTATGAAGTATAATTTTTTTGTTCCTTATGCTTTTAGTGTCATATCTAAGAATCTGTTGTCAAATTCCAAGTCATGAAGATATACTTTTATGTATTCTAAGAATTTTATGATTTTAGCTCTTATATTTGGATCATTGATCTTTTTTGAATTAATTTTTGTATACAGTATAAGATAGGAGTCCAACTGTATTCTTTTTTTACATGGATATCCAATTGTCGTGGTACTATTTGATAAATAAACTGTTTTTTCTGTTGTTATTTTTAATCTACCTCTTTATTAAAAAGTTACTCTAGTGAAATGGTTAAGATCACTGGGAGACAGATGCTTGGATCCAAATCTGGTGTTACTGTTTGCTACCTACATGACATTGGACAAGTTATTTAACCTAACACTTAATTTTCTTATTTATCAAATAATAGAAACTCCATAGTATTATTATTATGAACTTTAAATGGAATAATATAGGTGTTATCACCGGGCCAGGTTCATTGCCCACTGCCCAAGAGGAAGCCAATACCCTGAGATAGCAGGTGTTATGGAAGAGAAATGGGTTAATTCCACAGAGTGTTAAGTGGGAAAGGGAAGGAATTCTTAAAATCCGCCTCCTTGAGAATTTGGGAGACAAGGTGTTTAAGACAGATTGGCAGGCAAAGGATTAGGCAATAGGGGCAAATCTTTGAATTTGTTCCTGGATTGAGTTCACAATTTCCACTTGAATCAGTTTCTTGGTATGGGCGGCTGGTCTGTAGATCAGCCAATCCACTGGAATGCGAGACGTGGAAGATATCTCAGAAACTACCTTTGGGTTTTGAAAAGGTGACGTTATCTAAGGACAAAATCAAGAGAATCTTTATGACTACCAACTATGTGACTCCAGAGTAGCAATTATAGAGAAGCAAACAAGAGTACAGCAACTAATTATTATCATTACTTTTAGCTAGGACTGTGCCTTCGTAGAGTTTTCAGGCCCTTACCCTAGTTCTTGCCTTGTGCCCCTTTACTGAAAAGGGTAGTTTTTTTATGTAGCAAGATTGTTGATTATGAGAGTTCAGTGTTTGCAAGAATTGACATTGATTCTGTGATTTTTGAAGAAATTATTATTTAGTAGCAACTAACCCAAAATTACAGTTGATCAAGCCTAGAGTAAATACTGTAATTCTTCAAAAGGTAGGACTAAAGAATCCAAATGATGAGATAAATGAGAAAAACATTATGATTGAGTAGATGTTTATACTATATCCAGACATTGGGGTGTTATTTACTCCTTAAAATAATTCCTTTCTTTTGAATAAGAAACCTAAGGTTTAGGGTATGGACTAACATTTCCAAGATACAATCATATAATGATCAAGTGGCAGAAGTGGCATTTAAATCTGTATCTGCCTCATTAGAAAGTCTGCTGTTTCACTGTTATGACTTACTGTAGGAAAAAAAAAAGATTCAATAAATACAAGACTTGTCTGCCTTCCTGAAATTTCATGTAGTATTAGAGTATGGAGAGATGAAAAGCATGGGAGTGTGTGTGTGTGTGTGAGAGAGAGAGACAGACAGACATGTATATGTGCCACATAAAATGTTATGTACAAATCAGTTCTCTGGGGGAATATTTTATTATAATTTAATGCATACTTTTGATTAAATCTCAGACTATATTTATATTCACCTTCTGTCAGTTCTTCATATAATTGATATTATGATCCAAATTTTAATATTTAACTTTTTAATATATTAAATTGAAATAAAAATGTGTAACATCTACTAAGTATAGGGTTTTTTTTTTAAATCATGATCTCTGAGTCCAGTATTTTAAATGGTATTGAAAATTTTACAACCCATAAATTTAGATTTCTTTTGTGATTCTCTTAGATGTAATAAAGGAACAGAATCGAGAGTTACGTGGTACACAGAGGGCTATAATCAGAGATCGAGCAGCTTTAGAGAAACAAGAAAAACAGCTGGTAAGTAGAACATTAAATTTCAGTGTAACTTTTCAAACAAATTTGGAAATTAGTGTTGGAATAATTAGCTAACTAGGAAAAAGGCACATGGCAGGTGGTAAGTGATTTACTTGACTAAGAAATGGCATTTAATGACTTCCTGCATCTTCTGCTTACCTTTGTTTATTGTATCATTCTGCTGACTTTTATCAGGATTCTGTGTATTCTGAATCAAATTATTCTTCAGTTTATGAAAGTCATGAATGCCTAGGAAGAAATACTGCTTAAAATGGAAGCCCCTTCCTCTTAGTTAACAGCAAAGATAAAATAGTCATGGAAAACAAGAGAGAGTTATAAAAAAAATAATTACGTTAGCTCATAGGTATCTTACTTGGTATTTTAAAGATCAGTGTGTCTGTGACAATGAATATCCTTTTTTTAATAGACTCATCTACTTCATCTTTAATTTTCTGTATGTTATGTTTTTAAACATATGTTGCCTCAAATCTTTTTTAAAAAAACAGCTTTATTGAGTAATTGACATGCAATAAACAGTATATGTTTAAAGCATGCAATTTGATATATTTGACATATGTATAAACTCATGAAACCATTATTACAGTCAAGCTTGTACATATCCACCATCTCTAAAAATTTTCTTATGCCTTTGGAAATCCCTCCTACCCATCCCTTTCTGTCTCCGTCCTCCTCAGTGAGGCAAATACTGATCTGTCACTGTAGATTAGTTTACATATCTAGAATTTTATATAAATGGAATTTTATAATAAATAACTTTTATGTGTCTTCTTTCACTTAGCATGATTATTTTGACGTTAATCAATGTTAAATGCATCAGTATTAATTATATTTTTTATTCATGCATGTTATTCCATAGTGTGTGTATATTACAATTTATTTATATCTTTACTAGCAAGTGGACATTTGTGTAATTTCCAGGTTTTGATTATTTGGAATAAAGTTACTATAAACATTCAAGTAAAGTCTGTGTGTGAACATGAGTTTTTACTTATCATGGGCATATTCCTAAGATTGAGAAGCTATGTTATAGGATAAATGTGTTTCACTGTATAAGCAAATGTTAAACAGTTTGCAAAGCAACTATATTTTTCTTCCCACTAGAAATGTGAGACTTAACAATATACTTGGAATTGGCAGTCTTTAATTTTAAGCCATCATGGTGGGTTTGTAGTAGATTATCATTTTAAATCACATTTCCCTGTTTACTAACGATGCTGAGCTGCTTTTCATGTACCTGTTTGCCATTTACATATATTCTTTGCCATTGTCTATTCAAATATTTTACCTACTTTTTTTCATAAAATTGTTTTTTTATTGATTAGTTGTAATAGTTCTTTATTCTAGATACAAGTATTTATTAAGTATCTGTTTTTCAAATATTCTTTCCAAGTTCTTGGCCTTGTCTTTCATTTTCCTAAGTGTCTTTCGAGGAACAAAATTGCTTTTGTTTTTGTATTTTGGTCAGGTACAATTTATTCTTTTTTTCTGTGGTTAGTGTGTGTAGTCCTATCTAAGAAATCTTTGCCTAACTCAAAGTCACTAATATTTTCTTTTATGTTTTCTTCTAGAAGTATTACAATTTTACTGCTTACATTTAAAAATGTGAACCATATTGAATTAAGTTTCAGTCTGGTGTCAGGTAAGGGTAGAGGTTCACTTTTTGCATATGGAAATTTAGTTATTCCAACATAATTTGTTGCTGGCACCTCTCCCTTGTCAACCCTTGTCATTTGAATTAGTTGTCTAAATACATGTGGGCATCTTCCTGGTTCTGTGCTATTCCATTGGTCTATATGACAGTTCTTAAGCCAATACTACATTGTTCTTTTACTGTAGCTTTAAAGTAAATCTTCTAGCTAGAAAGTGTTAATCCTTCAACTTTGTACTTCTTTTTTCATGATTATTTTGACTATTTTAGGTGATTTCCATTTTTCCTATGAACTTTAGAATGCACTGGTAATTTCTACAAATAAGATCTAAAGTTTGATTTTGATTTTGATTTTGTATTTGGATTAGAGTTTGATTTGGATTACTTTGAATATGTAAGTCAATTTGGGAAGAATTAACATCTTAATATTAAGTCTTCTGACCCATGAAGATAGTATTTCTTTCCTCTTATTTAGATCTTTAATTTTTCTTAGCAGTGTTTTGTACTTGTAAGTTTAAAGGTTTTGCATTTCTTTTGTCAGATTTATCCCTGAGTATTTCATATTTTTGATGCCAAATGATATTTTAAGAACAAATTCAATTTCTGATGTTGGGTTTTTGTATATAGAGCTATGTTAAATTTTTGTGTATTCATCTTGAATCCCGTAATCTTCATAATCTCACTTGTTCTTGTAGACTTTTTATAGATTTCTACATATAGATAATCATGTAATGTGAATAAATAAAACTACATCTTCTTTTCCAATCTTGAAACCTTTTTTCATTTCTTTTTCTGACCTGTTTTACACTGGCTAGAACCTCCCATAAAATGTAGAAGAGGTGAGAACAGACATCCTTATCTTTTTACTTATGTTAGGGGAAAAAAATCGTCTTTCACAATAAAGTATGATATTAAGTATAGGCTTTTTGTAGATGCCCTTAAATTCCCTTTTGTCTAGTTTGCTGAGAGTTTTTATCAAGAATAAATTTTGTCAAATATTTTGTTTGGCATTTTTTGTATCTGTAGAAATGATTGTGTAGTTTTTCTTTAGTCTGTTAATGTAGTGAATTACATCGATTGATTATCAAAAGTTGAAGCAACCTTTTGTTTCTGGGATACACGCTACTTGGTAATGATGTATTTTGGGGGATGTATTTTTAATTTACTGAAATTTTAAGAATATTTTTATCTATGTTCATGAAGGATACTGATTTGTAGGGGTTTTTGTGTAGTGTTTTTATTTGATCTGATATCAGATTAATAATGTTGGCCTCGTAGCATGAGTTGGCAGAGATCCCACAGTCTTTTCTTTGCTGGAAGGGTTTGTATATTTTACCTTAAATTTTTTGATAGAATTCATCAGTACAGTCATCTATGAGTGAAGTTTTCCTAGTGGATAGGTTTTTTAAACTACATTTTTTTTTTTTGAGACAGAGTCTCGCTTTGTTGCCCAGGCTTGAGTGAGTGCTGTTGTGTCAGCCTAGCTCACAGCAACCTCAAACTCCTGGGCTCAAGCAACCCTACTGCCTCAGCCTCCTGAGTGGCTGGGACTACAGGCATGCGCCACCATGCCCGGCTAATTTTTTCTGTATATATTAGTTGGCCAATTAATTTCTTTCTCTTTATAGTAGAGACAGGGTCTTGCTCTTTCTCAGGCTGGTTTCGAACTCCTGACCTCGAGCAATCTGCCTGCCTCGGCCTCCCAGAGTGCTAGGATTGCAGGCATGAACCACCCACCCCGCCTGGCCCATTTTTAAAAAATAGATATAGAGTAGATTAAGTTATCTGTCATTGAATGAGCTTTGATAGTTTGAGTCTGTCAAGTAATTTGTCCATTTCTACTAAATTTTAAAATGTAATGATATATCATTTATAATATTCCCTTAATATTACTCTTTAACATCTTTAAGATGTGATGTTCTCCTTTGTGGTCTCAATATTTATTTGTGTGTTCTCTATTTTTCTGTCTGTTTTGGTTTTCGTCTTGATCAGTCTGGCTGGTGGTTTATTAGTTTGATTGATCTCATAACAAAAACAGCTTTTGGTTTCATTGATTTCATGTACTGGTTTTTCTTTTTTAGTTTGTAGATTTCTTATTTATATTGTTTCCTTCTTATGGTTTATTGCTTTGTGTTTCATTTGTTCTTCCTTCTACTTTATGTTGAAGCTTACCAGTTATTCATTTTTCGTTTGTTTGTTTTTGAGATAGAGTCTCACTTTGTTGCCCAGGCTAGAGTGAGTGCCGTGGCGTCAGCCTAGCTCACAGCAACCTCAAACTCCTGGGCTCAAGCAATCCTCCTGCCTCAGCCTCCCAAGTAGCTGGGACTACAGGCATGTGCCACCATGCCCGGCTAATTTTTTCTGTATATGTATTAGTTGGCCAATTAATTTCTTTCTATTTATAGTAGAGATGGGGTCTCGCTCTTGCTCAGGCTGGTTTCGAACTCCTGACCTCGAGCAATCCGCCCTCCTCGGCCTCCCAGAGTGCTAGGATTACAGGCGTGAGCCACCGCGCCCGGCCTCATTTTTTTTAATATAAGATTTAATGCTATTAATTGCCTTCCAGGAACTGTTTTAATTGCAGCTCACACATTTTGATGAGTTGCATTTTCACTTTAAGTTCAAAATGTTATCTTATTTTCTCTGTGATTTTTTTCTTTAACCCATGACTTATTTAGAACTGTATTTTTAAATTTCTGCTTATTTGTAATTTTGCTCCCCTGCTTTTCTTATTAATTTCCAGTTTAATTTCACTGTGATTAGAGATGTATTTGTGTGATTTCAGGCCTCTAAAATTTATTGAGCCTATTTTCTATTGCAGAATATGAAATATTTTGGTGATTGTTTAGTGTACACTTGTAAAGAATGTATATTCTGCTTCAGGTGTAGGTGATTGAGTTTCTTATAAATGTCAGTTAGGTCAAATTGGTGATAGTGCTTTAAAGTCTTCTGTATTGGCATAGATTTTCTACTTGTAATAATCATAGGTTGTATACTTAAGAGAGGAATTGTTGATATCTCTCATGATAATTGTATATTTGTCTATTTCTCTTTTCAGTTCTGTCAGTTGTGTTCCATATATTTTGAAGCACTTTTTTTTTTTGAAATGGAGTCTGTCTCTGTTGCCCGGACTAGACTAGAGTGCCGTAGTGTCAGCCTAGCTCACAGCAACCCCAGACTCCTGGGCTCAAGCAGTCCTCCTGCCTCAGCCTCCCGAGTAGCTGGGACTACAGGCATGCACCACCATGCCTGGCTAATTTTTTTCTGTATATTTTAGTTGGCCAATTAATTTTCTTTCTATTTTTAGTAGAGATGGGGTCTTGCTCTTGCTCAGGGTGGTTTCGAACTCCTGACCTCGAGCAATCTGCCCGCCTTGGCCTCCCAGAGTGCTAGGATTACAGGTGTGAGCCACTGCGCCCCACCTTGAAGCACTTTTATTAGCTCTATGCATATTTAACATTATCATGACATCTTTATGTATTGAGTTCTTATTATGTAATGCTTTTTATTTCTAGTAGTAGTCATTGATCTCAAATTTAGGTGATTGGATATTAACATAGCCACTTCAGATTTCTGGATATTGGTAAATATTTATATAGTGTTTATTTTTTCATCTTTTAGCTAGTTTTGTTTTATATTTAAAGTTGGAGTGTTGAGATAGCATATAGTTGGGTATGCTTTCTTTTCTGACAAGCTGCCTTTTAATTGAGATATAAAATGGACCATTTTGCTTAATATAATTATCCATATTATTAGCTTTAAATCTCTAACACTTTGCTCTTTATTTGCTCTGTCTCACCAACTCTTTGCTTAATTTGTTTGTTCCTTTTTTCCTACCTAGTTTTGTAGGTAAATTTTTCTTCTAGGCTGTATATGTATACTCTTTTGAAGATTTGTTTTGTATTTGTGGATGAAGGTCATAGTTTTCTTTTTTCCATTTAAACATGTGGAGGAATTGCCCTCTCAGATTACTCTTTCTCTCTGTGACTTTATGATAACCTCTTCCCTTCCTCATGATCAGGGAGAAGGAGTATATTATATACAATAGGTCTGTTCTTCTGAAATAAATTATTGAGGACTACTCTGTAATAATTTTATTCCCCTCCTTTTATTTCTTCTCATAGGAATTAGAAATTAAGAAAATGGCCAAGATTGGTAATAAAGAAGCTTGTCGAGTTTTAGCCAAACAGCTTGTACATCTACGAAAACAGAAAACAAGAACTTTTGCTGTAAGTTCAAAAGTTACTTCTATGTCAACACAAACAAAAGTGATGAATTCCCAGATGAAGATGGCTGGAGCAATGTCTACCACAGCAAAAGTAAGTTGGAGCCTTTATATCTATGAATTTATACCTTTATCAAAGATATTTAAATATTGATATTCAAGTCAAATTTAAAAGCATCTCCTTGTGTATATGTGGTGCAGAGTCTGTAATTTTAGTAAAATGAGTTATAATACTAGATAATCCAAGTAATTTTACTTTTAGATTCTTTATTGATATGTTTTAATATGAAATTTCTTCTTTTAGGACATTTTCATCTTCCTAAGATCTCATGTAGCTTCTAAATTTATAAAATTGACTTTTAAAAGTGTTTGCTCTCTTCCCTTAAACTGTCAGAAGATTTTTGGGCTTCTTCTTTCATTAAGCTGTAAGTCTGATTTCTTTTGTGTAATAATTTCCTCTTGGTTCATATTTATAAGTGTGTCAGAAGGACACAAGAATACTATCAGAAGGATTTATCAGTTACTGTTTTTCTGGAACTTTAGTTTAACTTAAATACCTAGGCTGGAAACTTTTTATTAAATAGTAGTTTTGAGGTAAAGATTACTCATTTTGCAAACTTCTGCAATTGGTAGCCTAGGAAAAGGTGCTTAATGTGATCCTGCCCTACAAAGATGTCTGAATTGGAATTCTCACTTAAATTTCATAGAAATGTGTTAACACAGCAAATATTTATGTCCTCTAGTTAGAAACTATAAGAAGTGATGAGGATGAAATGGGAAGCAAAACCAGGCATGAGCCTAACCTTCATGAAGCTTACAGTCTATTTAAGAGGCAGCCCATTTGAAAGGTAGTTTGTACAGTGGTTAGGAACATAAGCTCTAGAGCCAGACTACTTGGGTTCATATCTCATTTTTCTTAGTAGCTGTGTGACCTTGGGCAAGTTATTTAGCTTTCCTGTGCCTTCATTCTTCATTTGTAACACACTGAAAATGATGATACCTAGCACATAAAGTTTGCATCAGGTTTAAATGTTATTTAACTTTAATTAATATTATTATATGTAAGGTGCTTAGAGCACCACCTGGCATACAATAAGGTTAATAGGCATTAGCTACCTCACTATCATCATCATCATTATTGTTATTTGTATTGTTTATAACAATAGTACAGGTTGCAATTAAAGTAATATAATTTACACTAATAAATGTAAAATTTCATCTATAGTGAGTAGGATTTAATGGTAGTATCTATTCTAATCTGGGGTGTCAGTGGAGATTTCCCTAAGACAGTGGTATATAAACTGAAATCTGAAGTATTATTGATAGGAAAAGCAAGTGGAGAAGAGCATTCCAGGTGAGGGACTACTATATATGAAGGTCCTGTGGCAGGAGAGAACATAGCACATTTGAGGAAATAAAAGAACATAGAGGACTATGGTGCAAAAGGGGACTATCTTATTAAGCAGAGTTCACTCAATGTTAGGTCTCATAGGCAAATTATAGAATTTGGCTTTTAGCACTAAGAGCAATAGAAATAGGGAGAGTGCAGTGTCATACTTGGAAAGATTACTTTGGCTACAGCATTGCTTACAGATTGAGAAAGGATTGTGTTTACTTCATATCTTTGAAACCAACATATTTTCTATTGTATGGTGTCTTTAATATACTGAATTAACTATATAATACATACGTATACATCATATATATAAATATAATAACGTTTCACTTAACAACGGGATTATATTCTGAGAAATTCATCCTTAGGCGATTTCATCATTACGCGAACATATTGGAACGTATTTTCACAAACCTAAGTGGTATACCCTATTTACATACTAGACTATATGGTAGAGCCTATTGCTATTAGGCTACACTATATTGAATACTGTAGGCAATTGTAAGACAATGGTAAGTATTTGTGTATCTAAACATAGACCATGTTCAGTAAAAATACAGTATTATAATCTTATGGGACCACCGTTGTATTTGCAGTCCATTGTTGATCAAAACATCAGCATATGTTATGTGGCTATAAATAAATTTTGAACATACTAGGTAGTATTAATCTCTTCTATTGAAATAAGTTGGGAATATATTGTATAAGAGAATTGTTTTCACATAATTTTATAAAACTCAATTTTTTAAATTTCTTTAAACCATGGTTTAAAATGTGTTAATAAGATTAAGGATATATGCTAAAATATCCTCTAATCTTTTTAATAATTTAGACTATAAAAATTTTAATGAAAATTTTTAAGAATTAAATTTAAAATTATTTTTAATTTATTGACCTTACCTACATATATATGCACATATATTTATATACCTGCCACATAATAGATAAATTTATTTTTCCTGTTTGAATAGCCTGAATTTTATATTGAAAATATTTTTTATAATTTTTTGCCTACAGTTCAGATAAGGTTTTTTTCACACTGGCTTTTATCTGTAACATATAGATGTTAAGCAGATAGTTTACAAATGAATATTTCATTTTTTTCCTAGAATACTTAACACTATGTTTGATTATGGCAGGACATATCTTTTAAAAGCCTGTCTATGTTTGATGTATTCCCTTTTGATTTATTCCATGGTAAAACTTTCATAATTATGAACTCAACATGAATTCTTTTAATATATTTAAAAGACAATGCAGGCAGTTAACAAGAAGATGGATCCACAAAAGACATTACAAACAATGCAGAATTTCCAGAAGGAAAACATGAAAATGGAAATGACTGAAGAAATGAGTAAGTTTAAGAAGTTGTAATGAAATTTATAGTTTTCTCCTCTTTGAATTAGCCAAGTTTATTTAGTAACATTCTCTTATTCTCATCTATGAAGGCAGAAGTAATGAAACAAAATATAATAGAGAAACCTTATAATAAATATTATATTATAATTCAGTATATTTTTAAATTGGCAATGTATGTGTCTCAAAATTCTATTCGCATTTAGCTGAGGGAAAAATACGAAATATATTATGCCATATTTCTATTACACATTGGCCTCAGCAGTTTTACTTATTGATTAGTTTACCCAAACCAACTTGTGAATAAAATAATTCTTCATGGTATAAATTAGGTAGTTTCAGAGTTATGTTGACTCTTTCATACTATGGAAGATCTGTTAATATTGGAGGTAGAGATGGTAGAGCTCTTCCTTTTGTTTTTATTCTTTTATCTTTTTTCCCCTTATAAGAGTCATTTAGTATTTAGTTCTCTTCTTTTTGAATATAAACGAATTATATGTTATTGTGGAAATATGGAGAATACAAAGAAACAGAGCATATAAAAAACATCTCACCTCACACCACCAGATATAGTTACTGATAATGTTGTACATTTCCTTCCTGTATTTTCCCATAGTTTATAAAAGTGAGATCATGTTATATGTACAATAGCGAATATTATCCTGCTTTTTCAAAATGTAATAATATAACATAAGCACGTACTCATAACTGTAAATCATCACTGAAGTCTTTTCTAAAAATAGCTTTAACATTACATAACATCAATATATGCGAATTTATCAAACCATTCTTACATTGGTCAATAAGATTGTTTTCAAATTATCAGTATATTTGATAATTATTTGAAAAATATGTTTATATATTATCTTTGACTTAATTTCTTAAAACTCCTTAGAATATTAACTTCTGTAAGACTTGTGGTTCATGCTACCAAAAACCAAAAATTTCCCAGAAAGAATTTTTATTTCACCAGTAATGAATGAGTGACCCCTTCATAGCACCCTGGTCAACATTAAATCATTACTTTTTTTATATGTCAAAAACTGGCATCATTCTTTCGAAAGATATTTTCTAATTGCTTTACATTTATGTAGAGATATGCCAGTTTAGCTCTGCTTATCTGCTTGCATTTTAATTTAATAGCATTTAATGTGTAAAATAGTATCTAACTAAATTACCAGGGTTATTAAACTCATCATTGTTGTAGTATTCTCTTTCAGAGTACCCATTTTTCTTCTAGGGTGTAATGATACTGTATCTGTATATTTTATAGTTCCAGAAGTTCTTTAGTTTTTACTTCAAGGCTTTACTTTGAAAAGTATGATTCTTTCAAGGCTCTTGAAACGTCAATGAATTTTTAGTGACTAAGAGAATTGTCGTTTATATAATGATCACACTATTTAACGTGTTTATGTGATTTCCAATGATGGCACAGGTATGAGCAGATCTTATAAGAGAAATTAAATTTTCCATTAAGCTATAATGAAAAGAATCAATAATCATTTATTTTATTTGATCATATATCTATTGTATCTATCACAATTGTTATCATTTGTATTTTATTTGTAAGTTAGTCTGAAATAATAGTTATTGATGATTACTCATTTTTTTAATAACCTAGGAAAGTAAACTAACAATATTGTCATCCAAAGTTAAATTCAAGGTATAAATGAACATATCTTTTTACCATTAGAATTTATATTCTGCCATGTTGCTCCAAAACTTGTTCACATTCAAGTTTTAGAGATAAGATCATTGGGAAATCTCTCTTATACCTGTGATTAGTTTCGTTACACTTTTCCTAAAAGCGTTCTTTATTAATCTATGATTACACCTCTCTGGTGTTTTTTGTCTATCCCCTTCATTCATTTTTTTCTGCAACTACCTCTTCATTCAGACCCTTGTAAACTCCCCACCTCGCTTGCAACTACCATCCAAGTAACACACTACTGAATTCTTTTTCCAGAAACCTCTGAGCATGCTGATCAGATTCCTTCAGTGGCTTTCTGCTGACTACAAAGTAAAATCCCCTAATCATAAATCAAAAATAATTTTCTGGTCAAGCCCCTTTAAAATTTTGCCAATGAGAATACTGAGTCCCAGAGAGAGGTAAAATGATTTCCCCCAAAGATGCCCGGGTACTTAATGGAATAAATGAGATTCTAATTCAAATCTTAACATTCACTTTATTTCTTCCAAGATGATATTCCATTTTTTTAATCCTTAAGCTCTTTAGCATTTTCCAAATTTATACTATTAAGCCAACTCAGAAAATTAAACTGTCAAATCATGCTCATACAAATCAAAGATCTTAACCAATATTAACCTTTATTAATAATGTCAAGGATACAGACAATTAAAATGGACAGACAAAGCAGTGAGAGGGCTGAACATCCTAAATCAACCTCCAAATCTTTTCTCCCTATTTCAAATACAGGTTCTCTGACCTGGAATAATAGCTAATGTGTCTAATGAGGTTGCTTTTCATCTCATGTTGAAGGGACTATTTAGATTATGAAACATCTCCAGTACCCCAGACAGTACCTACTTTATGTGACATTTTCCAGGGAGTCATGGCTCATAAACCCATAGATTGTATGTTTGCTATTATAGTATCCTAAACTAGGACATCCTGCTGAGAGCATTCCATAGAAAAGGGCTCTCTTTCTAGCAAATATTAGTCTATTTACCAGGAGTCCCAGTTATTAACATGAATACAAGGAGATCAGACTAGGTTTTAGGCTGTCTTTCTTTTTCTGGAGACATCCCCTGTAATCAGGAGGGAAATGGTTACAAACCAGCTGCTTTAATTTTTTTTTTTTTCTTCTAGACATTGTCCATTCATGGACCTTGAATAACAACCAAACAGAATAATTTACTCTTTCTTGTTTGTATCCCTGTTGCCTCACCATGTCTTTGCTCTCGCTGTTCCCTCTATGTTCTGCAGGACTACCTCACACGTTCCTTCCTCCCAGTTGGATGTCATCTTTTTTGTCTGAAACTTCATAATCACTATCTTTTCACATACCACAATCTGTTTATTATTTTTTTTTCCTTTTGTACTCAAGTGCTTATTACTACCTAAGGTCTTTATTTTTCTCCATCTATCCATCCATTGTATTTATATTGCATGCCAGGCACTTAAGTGTCCAGTTTCAAAGATAAGTAAGACATAATACCAAGCTTTCAAAAATTCTTTCCCCACAACTCAACATGATGCCTTCTATACAGAATGCTTTCAATAAATATTTTAGGAAGGGAAGGGAGGAAGGGCCAGGGAAATAATATTCCTTCAAGGTTAAATTGGACATCATTGTTTGGGCAAATTTAATAAAAGATTGAACCTTAAATTTTATTAGAATATCATTCTTATATGTTTAATATAAGTTTAAGAAATATGAAAATGATTATAATAAGAGTAAATTGCCTTTAAATTATAACAGGATATTTAATTCTTGCATATTCTTCTCTGGTTAGGTGTAATGGCTACCAGCTCAATGGATACAGTTTGTGGAATTGTATTTTAAAATCTTAAGCCTGTAACTGTAAATATCACATAGATTTTTTTCTATTAGGCATAATTTTTAAAAAAATCAGAGTAGACTTATTTTACTATAGAAGTAAAACAAGTACATTTGTGTTGGAATGAAAATTATTACAAATTTAGTGGCTCAAAAATGTATTTACCAATGTACTTTACTGATATCTTAAAGTGACTTTTGTAGATGATTGATTCACTAAATTTACTTTCAATAATATAAATATAAAAAATATATACACATAGCTGGGCTAGTTTCTAAAAATGTATTAATAAATCTAACCTGGAATTTCTTTGACTGTAATTGCTTTGTTTCCTCCTTTCCCCATCCCCCAGTCAACGATACGCTTGATGACATCTTTGAGGGCTCTGATGATGAAGAAGAAAGCCAGGATATTGTGAATCAAGTCCTTGATGAAATTGGAATTGAAATCTCTGGAAAGGTATGAACATGTTCTTTTCTTAGTTGGAAATAGTTTCTACCACTTTTGTCAGTTAATTGTTACAGGTTGTTTTTTACTATTAGGTGCATGTTTTTATATTTGTTTCAAAAGTAAATTACATCACATGCTTGATGTCCTAGCCCAAATGTTTGTAACACACATATTTTTCCTCTTTTCCTTTCTTTAATATAGATGGCCAAAGCTCCGTCAGCTGCTCGAAGCTTATTACCATCTGCCTCTACTTCAAAGGCTACAATCTCCGATGAAGAGATTGAAAGGCAACTCAAAGCTTTAGGAGTAGATTAGTAAAAAAAAAAAAGTCATAATATTTTTGCTTATGTAGTATAAACCAGGCACAGTGCAGATTCCTTTTACAAAACACATTTATTTTGCAAAAATAAAGAACATGATTGAACAGTTGTTTCCTAACCCATGGCTATTTTGAATCTTTTGCCAAAGAATGACAATGATGCAAAAGTGGGAACAGTTTGGATTTTAATTAGAACTATTTAGGAGTGATGATGTGTAAAAAGTTGACTTCTTTTCTGCATGGCACAGAGAAATTATATTCATTACTTAGTGTTGGTTTATGTTCTAAATCTTTTTACACTGAATATAAAAATCTTGTTAAATGCCAGTAGGCATCAACTTAAAGAGACTTGTAAAAATATTAAAAGTATATCATTAATTCTGTATCTGTTGCTTGTCTTTCGTAAGCGATTGTGTGTTATGACCATAGGCAGTTCAGCTGCCAAATTATTTTTAAATGATCTAAAAGAAGAGTGCTATTTAAACATCTGTCTTAAGCAAAAAACTGCCATGGCTTTTTTTTTTCCTTTGGGAGAACATTCTATTTGGTAAGTTTATTACCTTTCCAAATGTGCTTGGCACCTGCCTTAAATAGCACAGACATTTTGTACACATCGTTAAATTATTTTGACTGGCAAAAAAAGAATTATATCTTAAACTAAAATTGAGGCCTTGTACAAAGATTTTCCAGGCTTTCTTTAATAAAGCTTATAAAAGTGAATTGAATATAATTAGCAAAAAAAGGACACTGAATTAACAATATTTTACAGCAATAAAACAACATATTTTGGCTTATAATTTAATCTGTTTAATTTTTAACTCTATTAGTGTGTATATTGACTTCTCTAAATTGAAGCCATTCTCAAGTACTACTACTATGACAATACTCAAACTAAGTTTTTAATATAAAAGTTAACTTTTTTTGGTAAAATTACAATTTTGTTAGAAATTACTGCCTAAATGTGTAGTAATGTATTAGCAGTATTTTTAAAGGTAAAGTTGCTGTGGTATTTAATATTATGTATAGAGCGTGAGAGAAAATGAAGGAGTGCCAAATTAGTTAGGAATAGAATTTAGGATTAGGTTAGTTTTGAAAAATGAGGTAATATGGGTTCTAGCACATCCCACCATAAAAACTGAAGGAGATCAGGTATGTATAACCTGTTTAATTTGGGATGATGGACATTTTGGACTAATGTTGACAAAATACATTTGAGGACTAGAATACATGTGACATATGGATTGGTGGGAGGAAAGAAAAACTAAACTGTATAGTTTACACTCCGTAAGTCATTTTATAATGTTCAAAGATTAGGTTTCATTGTTAGTATTAACAACATAATTTTTCTGAACAGTGATGGGTCAAAACATTTTACTGGATTATTGAATGTTTACCGGGAACATGTTTTGATTCTTGGATGTACATAATAATGACATCTAACTTATTTACTTTCTTGTGTACATGTGGGGGCTTTTGTTTTTCAAAATTATTTTGTTAAAAAAATTCCAATAAAGATTTTATTACTGTTATTCCTTATCTCTTTTATTCTGTTTTTGGCTTCTGCTAAAATTAAAAATTTTACCCAAATTTGATAATTTTTCAAAAGAATGATCTTTATTATCTTCCCAGAAGTACCAGTAGATAACTCTGCTACTTACATTTTTAACTAAAATAAGTATCTTTTAAGAATTAATATTGGTACCACCAGCCTGATGTTTTTGAATGTTAATAAATCTAAGAATTAGTGGTTTCACATTAAATTAATGTGATAATTTCTTTCATAACATTTCCAGAAACTAAACATTTTGAAGTTTTATTTTTAAAATTATAAATCTCAGTGATTTCTTCCACTTACCACAAAGACGTTTGGACCCAAAAGATAGTCATTCTTATTTGGCTATATTTATAAAATGTTCTGGTGACAGTTTTCACAGTCACTATAAATTTGTAGTATTACCATATCCTTTGCTAAAAATAAAACAGTTCCTTTTGGGTCCTTAAAGAATAGGAAATGAGGATTCTTCTAGATTGAGCTCAATGAAAATATTGATTTTCATTAAAAAAAAAACCTGGTTTTTCTAACTTCCCTTTTTCTTGGCAAAAGAATTTCTTTAATAATTATATTCAAACAACAAGAGGTTGGCCATAGAAAGAGAGTAGAAAAGTATCTCTGTTATTGAAAAGGATGCAGTCCAATGTCACATTTTGCTACCAGATGAAAAAGTCATGGATGGGGGAGATTTCAGAGTACCACAGAAGTAGAATGTGATACAAAATGTCAATGGTAACACCTGTTCTTAGAAAACATAACGTGACCATCTGTTAGATGATTGTGTTGTACAGACTGTATGCTCTGAGGGGAGTCTCTGGTTATGGCAGGGGCTAATGGAAAGGGGCTTAAGTGTGAGACCTATTGGCGAGAAGGCGGAAGCTGGCAGCCTATGGGCTTTGTGTTATTTGACCTGTACAGTGATGTATATTTTATCATTTGCGTTTGAGTGCTTTTAGAGGAAACCTGGCACTCTCTTTGGCCAAATGCACTTTCCCTATAAGCCCAGTTGCCACAATTCTTACCTAATCCTTCTGGGTCTAATTTAAATATGTACTCTTAAACACTTTATGTTAAAACAGGATCTGTCCAGGTCTGCAAAGAAACCTATGATAATGTTCCCTGATACTCTGCATGAAAAGGTTTTTGCATTTTCAGAAACAGAGATCAACTTTCCAATTTCATCTCCGTATAAGCTGAGTCCCATAAACAGACTTAAAACCATTCTTTTAAGCTTAATTTCTTTACGACTCAATTGAATTAGCATTGCCTTAGAGGAAGTATGATTTCAGGTACCCTACTGTTGGAACACCACACCACCGCGCAACTCCCCCAACAACTTGTAAGTACACAGCCCCCCATCCTCCAAAACTGAAAATATTTTTTTAACTAGAGAAATCTTTTCCACCATTAGAGATGGAAAGGTAAATTATATGAATGAGTTTGTCAACCACCTCTACTAGGTAAAGTTGAATTTACCAGTTGACATAAATGACAAACATCTCTCCATTTTGATGGGCCACTGCCCTGAGGCACTTACAGGGACATAGGATGGAAAGACGTATGGCTAAAGTTAGCCTTTGATATTTATTTCCAAAAGTATAAACATTAATTCTGCACAGTAAATTACATTTATCATTTGCTAAATTGTAGTTTAAGATTGTAAATAACATTAACCATTTTCTATTAAAATTTTAATCTATATTAAAATACCACAATATAGGTAGAAAATAGTCTCAAAACTCATTAGTACAAATGAGTAAATACTAGTGTATTGACAACTAACTTATGAATAGCTAAATGAGTAAAGAGTGTCTATTTCAATATTATTCAACATAATTTCTTTTAGGGAGAAAAATTAATTTCCAATGCTGGTTGTGTCTGAATTTGAAGAGAATGACCTTGTGGATGAATGTCTGATAATATCTATCATGATCTAAACTTAAATATATAGATAGATGATCTAAGTACATACACATGATTATTTTTGTTACATAAAAAGTAAGAGTAAACATTACCAGCAGATTCATATTTAAAATGCAAGAAAATCACTAATCTAGATTTATATTGCATTATATTTTGCTTCTCTTTGCAAGTTTCAAAAAGCTTATATGCATTATTGCATATATGTATACATGTTCGTGTACATGATCTTGCCTTTTGCAAACTAAAGAATCCCCTCCCCATTTAATGTATGTTTTAAGGAGCTGAAGAAATACTGTATTATCCAGAAAAGGAATTTAAACACTTGCATTGCTGAATAATTTGGAAATTTACTCTTAAATAAGATTTTTATATTTATTACCATTTGGATGCTAAGTATGTTTTTAAGCATGGATGATTAGGTCACTAAAAACTATCTTTTGTTAATTAAATATCTATCTTTGTGAGTAACCTTATCAAATTTCTACCCATCCAATTGATGGCAATTATGTGTGTATATATTTATGTGATCTATGTAGATTATCTATAAAAATGCTAGGTCTTTAATAATATAAAAAGAGACTGAGTAGTATAATTTATTTAGTAAGCATTCTAAACAATAAAATGTGGTCTAATTGTTTCCATTTTTTATATAAAATAAGTTAAACAATGGCAGCAAATTTACATTCAAAATGCAAAAAAGGTCACTTCTAAATATCACACTACAGTTTGCTTCTATTTGCAAGTTTCAAAGAAGTGCATTCTTAAAAGTTAAATAAACATATTCTTTGAGATAAAATTCTTGGAATTAAAAAGCTCAATATATCAAAGTTTTTGTATTAATAATAGATTGTAACAAATTATACCAAAAGCCATCATCTGTTGTTGTCAGATCTCAGATGATTTTCTGGATTGTGAGATTTCAAAGATAGGGTACATGTTCAAATTAGGTGACACCATTCATGTTTGTAGTCATTGTTAACAACACACCCTTTCATTCATTTAAGAAAGATTGCATGTCGGTTATGAGCAGACACTTTCCCAAGCATTGCAGCAAACAAGCCAGGTCTTATCCAGCTCTGTTGTGGCTTGCAGGCTAATGGTTTGGGGCTGAAGAATCCACAAAGCATATTTGCTATAACTAAACATCAAAAAGTTAATTTGGGGGAAGAATTAAAATATCATGAATTAATGTTTCTACAAATCTCTTTGGAAACAGTTCTTTGGGTTCTATGCCATAAATATTAGCTTCAAAGGTATCAATTCTGATTGTGGCTTATTCCTAAATACAATGATAAAACTCTAAGACACCTCCAGCTCTTAAGTTCAAAACATTTAGTTCAAACAAACAGCTGGTGGAGAGTAGGACATTGGTTAATGAATTTTCTAATTGAACCTTCCCTGGTGAAATTCTTTAAATATGTGACAGTATTGACTAAAATGTTAAGCTAATAGGCTTAGAAAAGAAACTTTTAAGCCAAAAGACTTATATGGACACTCATATGTGTGTTTGTGTGTGTGTTTGTATGTGGGGGTGGGAGGGGGGGGAGAGAGAGAGGGAGAGAAAGAGAGAGAAAGAGACTCATTGTTTTATTCCTGTTAGTATCTTTGGCTTAAAATGTATAATGTGACTTTTCAGAATAATTATTTTAAATAAAATAACTTACCAATATCATTTAAATTGTCGGATTCTTTTAAAAAAATAGTAGTAAAGAAAAACTGCTGCTACATTTATTGGTATAAAATTATTTGAAGTCATTATTTGAAGTCAACTAAGTAATTTCTATTTTTGTTGAGGAATAGAAAGGAATGAAAAGTAGGAAAAAAATGGTGATTGCACAATAACAAATTTTATCTGCATTCAAGATGCTCTTTAGAAATAGAAAATAAACTCTGATTCAGACTTGTTTTCACCCGTTTTTCTCTCTGCCTTCGGTTGCAAAACCAAACTCTTACTACTTCTTTTTCAAGATTCAGTTCTTCAGCCATCCGCATGATCTCTTGAGAGGAGGGTTTATTCTGTTCTCCAAAGTGTCTCTCCAGAGCATCTTTAGCAGCAATACTGGGGTGGGGTGGGAGTAAGGGGTGAAATTATGTTTTTAGTGAAGTTTTCAGCAGATGAAAATTAAATAAGGTTGAACTCCCAAATATTAACATGAAAAGGAAACTTAAAGACTCTGAACACACTTGCAGAGCACTTCAACAAGAACAAATGTACAATTTGTTAAATATTTAGATGCTTGTCTTAATGCAGGGTAACATTACCAGAGGAAATAAGTAGGGGTACCCAGACCTTCTATGTTTATCCCACTTTGCACCACCAGAGGGCACTGTGTTCTTGAAAAGGAAATGAACACTTCCATAAGCCTTCCTAAATATCCTCCTAAAATTTAGGTTGTTCACAACAGGTAAAATGTGGAGTGAAAAACCAACCATTCAAAACAAAACCTATGTTTTAGCATTTCCTATGTGGGCCTCATAGAAACTACAAAAAGATCATGAAAAATCTTTCTGGGTTGAAAGGCAAAATGTCATGTTGAAATTTTAAGAGATTGAAATATTGATTAGCAGTGTTGCTATTTGTAATAACACAGATACCATAGATACCTTATTGTCAAAGCAAGAGCATGTATATAAGAGGACAGTAGAGATGGTCCCTCTTTTAGAAGTGATTGTTTGGTTTCTGTATTTATCCAAAACTTCTGGAGCAAAAGTGTTCTTGAATCAAACAATATAAATTTTTCCATCAAATGTTAAAAATTACTTGCTCTCCATTTCTCACAATTAAGCTATTAAATTACACTTTTTAAAAACCTATCTTGTTTCTTCAGTTGCCTTTATTCACTTTACATTTATATGTTATGTTGCATGTCTATTACACTCAAATGCTATAAAATAAACATAATGTATAAAATATAAAAAAATACCTTATAGTTGTTCTTCGTTTCCTTTTCCTTTCATTTGCTCCTACTTTTTCATTGTACAAAGCTATAATGTGGAAAAGAGGCATAATTAGGAACACAGAGTAGATTAATTTTTTAACCATTACATTTGGGTTTTAAATTTTCTTTATAAAACAATGAAAAATTAAAATGCCATAAGTTTTTGTCTTGAATTTTTGCAGTCTAAGTCATTTTATTAATATATTATAGGCCCTGGAGAAAAATGTTAATGCAGAACTATATATTAATTTTGCACAGAATTTTCTATACATAATATCCTCACCTTACTTTTGTTGGAATACTTGCTGTAATGTTTTCAGACTTTGCTCTCTATCCAGGTTTGACAGTAGTATGAGTAGACAATTTTATCTCATTAAATTGCTCATCTAGCGATTGCTTATTTCACTTTGAAGACTAGTGTGCACATATGTGCTGTGTACACTATTAGATTATAAAAGTGATTCATGTACAGTTACTTCAGTATAGCACACAGGCAAAAAATCTAAATATATTAAAAAATAAATATTTCACCACTTGACACTGGTGCCATAGTATCCAGAAAACTTTCCTTATATAGCTTATTCTCTCCTCAGTAGATTCTTGCCAAACTTATATTGGCCTTCCTTTTTTTCTAGTGTGATATGACAAGATACTGGTTTTTCACCTCAAAGAGAAAAGGGCAAAAAACTCCATCAAACCTCCCACTTTAGCATTAGTCCCACCAATTGAAGCCATTATTTTTAGGTTAAAACACAGCACAGCCTTTGGAGATATAGCTTTAGTACCTCCTACTTGCTCAGCTTCCTCCAGCCATTTCGATAATATTGCTTTCAGTTTGCATGCGTTTTTAAAGCTGAGCTGCAGATTTTCAAATCGGCAGATAGTTGTTTGACTGAATTCAGAGCCATGCACAGCTGCCAGGGCTTCCCCAACATTTGTTTGGGTGTATCCTGTGAAAAGACAATAAAGAGCCTTACCTCCAGCTTTTCAAAAAGCATTAATTTTGGTCTATTATGAAACAAAGCTGTGTATTTTTCTTCCTCAATTATTAAATAATGTCTTTTAATCATACAGTTTGGCATATTAGAATTAATTAATAAGGTTCAGTGTAGGATTATCCAGTACTTTTTCGAGTTAATAAATTACTTTTTTCTAGAAGTCAAAAGAATTCAGATGGGAACACCTGCCATTCATGCTATCTAGCCAATCTGCACAGGTGTGTCCTAAACACTTTATAAGACACTTAAACATTCTCGTTCTTTTTATCATTATTATTAAATATCTGATGATATTTGTTCAAAAACCTTTAATATATTAATTATAATGCATAAAATATATGGTGATATATCATATAATTTTTGTTTCAACTGGAGGAGGGAAAATTCAACTATACTGTTGAGTACCAAATAAAACTAAGAATTATGCTTAATTTTCCTAAAATCATGTTTATTATGAAGCTATGATCACACATTTCATGTATACCTATGAATACATTTATTGTATTGTTTGGTAATGCTTCTATCTTCACACAAAGGTCCTTATTGAGTTTCTCAAACATTTTTAGAGGACAAGCTGAAATAAACCATCAATATATAATTTGAAACATTCATAGCAATATAAATAGAAAATTGAAAATGAATGTTATAAAGATGCCTACTGCTATGTTTATTACATGCAATAACGACATATTATTTTAGGGCCTAAGGCTATATACCTATATGTGTAAAAATGATTACATATGATGGCCATAAATAAATATTATTATAAAATTACCTATCGTTCATTCCCCAAGTGCGAGGTTTGAACTATAATTTCAATCTATTAAAAAACAATATACAGCTTCATAAATTTTAACCAAAGTTAATTGTTATATTAAAAACAATGAGTAAATTCTCTGAAAAGACAGTTCACAGAAAAGGAAATACAAATTATTGTCAAATATGTAAAAGAATGCTCTTCACTCTACACTCATAATAAAATAAATTTAAAATAAAACTACAATGAGGTGCTGCTTTGACCTATCTAATTGCAAAGATCCAAAAGACTAATAGCATATTATTTCTCTATCAGTATTTGTTTATTCTATGTTCTAGACACACTGTTTTTAGGTACTGGGGGATACCATTAGTGAGAAAACAAACAAAATCAACAAACAAAATTCTTGTGCCTTCATGGGGTTTACATTCTCAAGGTGGTGTAAGAGACACTCATGGTGGTAGTAAAATTTGGTACAACTTCTATAGAGACCAGTTTGGCAACATTTATCAAAATAACAAATACATATACTCTTTGATCAAGCAATTGTGCTTCTAACATTTTTCCTACACATATATTAGTATTTACATCAAGGCAAAATGACATTTTGGGGCTAATTACATGGTTTCAACATCACAAGATTAGAAATCACCTAAATTCCACTAGTAGAGAACTGGTTTAATAAATGGTAGTATATTCATAAAGTAGAATTTAACAGCGCCATAAAAGAAAAAGAGCTCTAGAAAAATTAATACTGAAATCTCTCCAAAATACATCTGTATGAAGCAATATCTATATTTGCTTATATGCATAATGTATCTCTAGAAAGATACAGAACAAACTAGCAAAATTAAAATGAAGGACAATCAGAAGAGATACACATCACTTATATGGTTTCATTCTTTTTAATCATGAATATATTATTTATTCAAAAGTTCAAATAAAATACAGATAAAAATGGGCACATCAAAACTAACCTTGATGTGGGTAAAATTGGGAAAGGACGCCATCAATTTAAAAATCTGTGTATTTTGACTATTAAGAATTTATAAGAAAATAGAGGCTTTGGCAGGATTGTTATAATTTGACTAATTTAAGTCCACAGTAGAGATGTAGGCTGAGAGCTGCCTTAGACTTCTGAGTCAGATTATAAGAGATTTAACAGTAATAGAGTAAGGATTTGCAGACCAAGTTATTTGGCCCATTGCTCCTATTAAGTGCATACCTAACTTAATTCTTCTCACTTTAAATTCATTGGCAAACTTTTCAAGTTCTCGGATTTCTGGAGAATCCATATCTATTGGCTCTTCAACCAATTTACTTTTCCGCCTGAGTTCCTGCTTGAAATCGGCAGCTGTGGGGTCTTCTGCCAGGAGAGGCTGGTGAATGGGAGGAAATCCATGACTCAACGTGTGGTCAGGAAATTTATAAAGACAAGGGGTTAAACTACCTGTGAGTAAACAAAGAAAAAAAAAAGGACCATTTGTAATTATTCCTTATTTCTATACAGGGAACAGTTTTGCCGGCAAGAGCCCATTATTCTGCTATAGACATTCTTACTACTTAAAAGTTACCTTACTTACATTCAGTCTTCCAAAGGAGGAGTCAAAGTAGCTTAGTCAATTTGGGGTTATTTTTCTCCCACCTACTCCAGAGCAGCAAAAGCAAAGATAATGTTAAAGGAAAGAAGCAGGGGATTGGGAATAATTAAAACAAATATAAGCAAATTCTCTCAGAAGTGTAAGTTTCCATCATTTTTCTCTTAAAAGACACCTATTTCCAAGGAATCTGAGGTTCTACTCTAACCAGAATTTACACATTGATCTCTGTATCCTTAAATCATTGAACAAATAATCTGTGATGTTTGCTATAACCAAGGCACTAAATGCTTTGGGCAAAATGCTGTGCTGGGAAGTTTTCTTGTGATTGAGAAATTTCATTTTGCAATATTAAAAAATCCCACTGTTTCTGGTAAATGCTTGATTTTAATAGAAAAATAATTGTGTCTTTTTTAATTTAACAAATGTAGGTAAGAAGAGAATTATGAGAATATACAATACATTAAATTGGTTAAATAGATTTGAAGAGTGAATAGAAATTAACAAAAGGTAACTTTAAAATTTCTATTAAAAAGTTAGCAACATGAATTCTTGAAAAATATACCATATCATGGAATTCCTTCTTGATTACTATTTAAGGAGAAGCAAAAATAAGTGGTAAGAAAAGATGCAATTCTAAATATGACAGGTAATCACCTGTAAAAGATGAAGCATTGACTCTATTGAATGAGTTAAATGATAAATCACAGAACATTTAAAATATTATGAAATTAAAAAGAAAATTACTTCCAGATTTTATTCTTTATCATGAAAAAAAAATCTCTCTCAGTTGAGAAGCATAAGTAAGGGGATGACATTTAAGCCAAAGTCCAAAACATTTTGTTTCTTGATTTCTTCATTGATATACTACAATTTTTATTGATAAAGATTTTACTTCAATTTGTATTAAATGACATGTACAGTCAGCCCTCTGTATCCATGGATTCCACATTCATGGATTCAACCAACCATGGCTCAAAAACATTTTTTTAAAAAACAATTTAAAAAAAAAAAAAAAATGCAAATTAAAAAACAAAAAACAATGAAAATGGAACAAGGAATAAAAAAAAATCAAAAAAGAATTAAAAAGGAAAAGAAAAAGCAAAAAGGGTAAAAAAAAAAAATACAAAAATTTGGAAAAAGCAATTGAACAACCAAGGAATCTGGCAACCCTGGGGAACCCGGAAACAAAAACCCAAGGCCAACCAAGAAAGAACGGAAAAACCAAAAAATTTGAAAAAAAAAAAATGAAGAAATAAACAATTTTCTTATAAGTATAAATAAATATTTAAAAATAATTAATATGGAATACACGCAATAATCACTCTTGGAAACGTGCTGAAAAAATACATTGAGTTCATGCTACTCATAATTTCTCCACAAATATATTAACAAATCAAAAACATGAGTAATAATTATTTTTGCCAGAATATATAAATCTTGCATTAATATATCAATATGTAATGAGCAAAGAATATTGTAACTCAGCAAATTATTGACTTGTATTATTTATATAAGAATATGTAATTATAAAGTGTACCCCATCTAATAGAATATATTACTTTTCTGAAGCAAAATAAACATACAAGTAAGAGGTCAAACAAAATGGCATAACATAAATTTTTCTGCTTCACAAATGTAGAAAAGATTTGAAAGAAACTATTTTTTGCCTTGAAAACTCCATACTAGTTTTACAAACCAAAATTATCCAGGTTTACTTTTTAAAAAGTCAGGTAACTATCCGCTTTATGCTTTAGTGTATAGTATATTGATTGGTACAGAGAAAATTTTGTAAAGCAATTGTATCAACTTTTAATTATATAGCATTACTTTGAAAACGTTCATTGCTTCTGGGGTTCATTTTTAGCTCCCCGTTAGTTTTGGATTTCTGCCAGTTAAAGTAAAAGACTAATTATGTAAAAAGAAAACCGACATTTTAGCATCTATTAATACATAATATTTATCTCAAGACCTGTCTTTTTTTTTACTATGTTTTCAGAGTTGATTCTTAAACATATAAAAAAATCATTTCTTTCTTCCTCCCCATATATCAGACATTACTTAATACATTTATTAATAATAATGGGATACCCTGAGAAAAAAACAAAAGAAAAAAAAAGCTACTGTTTGATTTTGTACATTTAATATATTTAAGACATTAGATATTTCATTTAACCTATGTCAGATTGTTGATTTAACATAAATAATTTGTTGCATATTTTTACATAGTATTCCATAAGTCTGAATTTGTTAACAATGCTGAGCATTATTTTTAATTTTTCTGGCCAATCATAATCATGCACTACTATTATATAAATCTTCTATGCAGTACTTTGTCCTGTATTCAGTTCACATTTTTCATCTTACTTATCCTTAAATAAACAAATGAGTTATAAAGTATATAAATATATATTTCCCACTAATTTACAATTTAGAAAATTTAAGTAGAAAGAAATTACATAACTTTCCTCCAGTTCCATGATGAACTAATGATGCAGTTGAAACTAGAAATGAAGTCCAATAAGTATTGTGATAAACCACATCAGAATAATTACCTAGTTTATTTTCCAGGCATTCTATACTCAGATAAATGACTTTTCTTTAAAGATTTTATCCTGCATTTAAACACATTTGGCTACATTAAATATTAGGTTGGTGCAAAAGTAATAGCAGTTTTGGACAGTGAATTTTAAATCATTATGACTAGGTTCGAACACATCTTTATTAATCAAAATAGGAACCATTACAATTAACACATTTTTGGCCAATGAGAAATAAGTTTGTTTATTCCCATAGTGTAAAAATCAGTGCTTTGGGACTTGAGGAACTCTTGGAAATCATTTTCTGCATCCTGCTGGTTGTGGAAGCATTTTCCCTGCAAAAAGGTGTCGAGATGCTTGAAGAAGTGGTAGTCAGTTGGCAGGAGGGCAGGCGAATACGGCGGATGTGGCAAAACTTTGTATCTAGCCCAATTTGTTCAACTTTTGAAGCATGTGCTATCGGGCATTGTCATGGAGAATTGGGCCCTTTCTGTTGACCAATGCTGTCTGCAGGTGTTGCAGTTTTCGGTACATCTCATTGATTTTCAGAGCATACTTCTCAGATGTAATGGTTTCTCTGGGATACGGAAAGCTGCAGTGGATTGGACTGGCAGCAGACCAACCAATGACCATGACCTTTTTTTGGTGCAAGTTTCGCTTTGGGAAGTGCTTTGGAGCTGCTTCTAGGTCCAGCCACTGAGCTGGTCATTGCAGGTTGTTGTATAAAATCCACAATATTTTTTCTTCTTCTTTTTGATGGCTGAGTAGTATTGCATGGTTTATATATATATATATATATGTATACATATATAATATATATATGGTATATACATATTTGTGTATCTATGTGTGTGTGTACACACACACACACACCACATTTTCTTTATCTACTCATCAGCTGATGGTGCTTTCCTCTTAAAATGAACTTTTAAACAAGGACTTTCACACCACTTCTTGGTTTGACCATTATGTCATCTAACCATGCTGGGTTTAACATTCATTACCTGAGGTGGATTTGCTCAGTTTCCACAGGACAATGGAAAGAGTGAACAGCCCAATAAGATTGTTTCCTAAATTTCACTCAGCTTTAAATACTGGGGAACAGAAACAATCTCAGACACCCAAGAATCAGTGTTTTTAGGACTTGATGTTTTGTTTTGTGTTTATCTAGGTGAAATTTTGAATGGCATTTGTGATTCTCTTTCCTGTTATTAGTACTGTAGTCAGTTGAATTATCTAAATTCTCAGGAGTGAAGGAACAGAAGAAGGAATTTAGCTTTAAGTGTATTTAAAGAGAAGATCAAAAGAGAAAGTAGGTTGAATTGGTACAAATCTGCCACAATTCAATCCTGACAGAGTTTAGCACCCACCACAATTTAGATATGAAGAGATTGAAACTCAGGTGTTCAGTGACTTGAGTAAGGTTAGTAATTAGTTAATGGTATAACTATAATTCATTGTAACTAATTCATTGCTCCCAATTAATTCCTCTCTTTAGTTTGTCTGCATCTGGACTATTAAGTCCAGTGGATACAGGTGACAAAGTGCTCCCTACAAACCTGACAAAATATTAGCTATAGTCCCTTCATGTGAGTTAATTTAATAAAATGCACTAACTAAATGTAAGCATCAGAGTCTGGGTAATAAAATAATCATATTAAAATAAAGTAATTTCACATCATTTAGAAATCATGTTTTCACTTTTATCTAGAGTGTCACTGAACAGGCTGTGCTATTGAGGAGATGTCTCTGTGGACTGTGTGAAAGTGGCTGATTTGATTAACACCTTAAGACTTCTCAGAAAATTCAAATGCCATAACCAGGTTTTTAATGTGTATTTCATAGTTTTTTTCTGTTATTTTTTAATTCCTATATTTTGTAATTTAATTCGTGCAGCTTCTCTGTGGAGGAAGGCAGGAGAGTTTAGATTCTGTAAGATTTAATCTCCCATGAAGCAAATGCTAACACTAAATATATGTCAAAATATTCACATTCTGACAAATTAGAAAGCATATCACAATTTAATAATATTCCTCTCAAAAAAATATTCAACTATAATCTCTATGCTTGCCATGGCGAGTTTTTCTTTCAGTAACAAACTATATTTATTTTAAGACTAAAATGATATCTCTGAATCTTGGCATAAGACACCTTTTGCTCTTGGCGTCACTAAGCCAGGCTTTGAATCATTTTAAAAGGCTTTTCCGGAGGCCTTTCCTTTTTAACTGTAATGATGATGGGGTTCATAGAAGAGGTTTTCCGAGTTCCTTCTTGAGGAAATGTGTATCAGCAAACCCCGAGCTGCCCGCTGACTGTCATGGTAAACATGGCCCTGTTGGCTCCAGTTCTGAGCAGGAAGGTGTTAGAATTCCCAGGCCAGCTGAGAACTCAGGAGGCCAACAGCCAGTTCTCTTTGATTTGCTGGGGATGGAGGTGCTGGTAAAACCGTCTTATAGTATTCGGGCCAGAGTTTATTGGCCACTGGCCTGTGACTGATTTTTATCTTTGTGCCAACCTCTGTCAAATGACAGAGATTACCTCTGGGCTGGATTAAGAGAAAAAACTAAAAGTGTATCTTGGTTCCTGGGAATCATTTCACATAAACTGCAAGGCCTTTCCTCCAGGGAACAGCAGCATGTGTTGGTCATCTCCTGTCTGCATAATCAAAATGGTGTGAAGGCCACAGCAAGCATTCTACCTGCACCTCTAATAGCTAACTGTATATATTTTACTATTTTATAATGAAACCAGTTCATCATCCAAGAGGGCTGTTCTCATTAACTGTGAATATTGATTAAGCACATGGATCATAAATAATCAATTTCCAGAGAGGAAGAAAAAAATATACAACTTTCTTTATTTCTTAATCATTAAAAAAAAGACATCAGGATTTACAGGTAATTGTTAAAAACATCAGTTTTCATTTTATCATAAATGTGAGGATATCAGTTTATTCAGAACATTCTTCATAGAATGTAAGGGAAGCTAACATTTTTCTGAAATATTGTTTTATTTTAAAGTTTTAATGTTTTATTTGGTCTTAAACTGAGAAATTTTGAGAAATTAAAAATTAAGTAATTAAAAAGTTAAATTCTTTGCTCCATTTTATTTGAAAATGATGAGCTTAATCCATGGGTTTCTTTTTCATTGCTTATCTGGATAATAACAAAACACAAGTCAGAAAAGATTTCTCTAACATGTGATTCGGTTATCAATAATTTCTCTCAGTATCACACAGACAAATTCTCTCACACAGTCTTAATTTGTTATTGCTAACAGTTCTCTTCCTGTTGCAGTAATAAATATAAAAAATCAAATAATTTCTTTAAAAACAAACCAACAAATAAAAAAATCTGTGCACAACAACACTATGCACTTTTTAAAATGATTAAAGTCTTTTATATGGTCATGTCCTGAAATTAAGCAATGAATTTTGTGATGAGTGGATTTCATCAGCCAGGTTTTCTCATTCCTCAAAAGCCATGCTTCAATTCCTCCATGTAAGAATCATGAACATAGGTAGTTACACTTGATATAGTGATGCTTTACTTATCCACAGTAGAAAAGTATGTAGCTTCAACTATTTCAATCCCACTTAAGACTCAGAAACAATTCAGAAAGGGCTGCTAAATTCTGAAACAGCTATCACTAAAGCCCCTACCAGTCACTCTTTGCCTTTAATCATGTCCTATTTATCTTTATAAGCCAAATGTCCAGAAGAAATACTGGGATGAGTGGGATGTTCTATAAATCTGTGCTGGCTATATGATAGCCACTAGCCACATGTGGTTATTGAGCATTTGACATGTAACTAGTGCAACTGAATTTTAAATTTTATTTTATTTTAGTTATTTACAGTTAAAATTGAATAGCTACATGAGGCTAGTAGCTACTATATTATTAGTGTGGGCAAGGCTGCCAATAGCACCCAAAAATGACAATCAGCAGTTTGACAGTAGCTAACTCAAATAAAAATCATACAAAGAAAAAACAAGAATTAAGAAACACAGCAGTTCAGGGTTGCAAAAAATAGGGCAATTATGTATAACTCCTAGGTGTCTGAGGGTTCCACAGCTCAGGGAATATATAAATAAGTGGTGGTTTTAAACAATTTCCAAAGTTAAGAGATCAGAATTTTATGTCATACTCTGGTCATAATTCTCTCAGGCCCAGAAAATCCATCTAAGTGTCCCCAAATTCAATATCACGTATAAAGACAATTTTTCTTACCTGCCATCACTCCATAGGTTGATGGCTGGTTTCCATAATGACAGGAAGGAACAGAATAATGAAGTCCTGTTGCTGTGTTTCCCAACGTTTTCACCGAGGAATGTGTGCGCAAACATTTAGGAGTTTGAATCAAAGACAAAATAGGCAAGACTGGTAAGAAAATGTATGAAGATTCAAGACACATTCATCTCATTTCAAAAATACACATTTATGCAATTATTAAAGTTATATGCCTATTATTTTATTCTCATTTGGGGAAAGTTCTCTGATGAGTAGGTTAAAACTAGGGATCAAAGTTTATCTCAAGTAATGAGATCATACAGCATCAAAGTGGACTATATCCTTCATTAATTATCCTGCTTTCTGTGCTGCCACTAGGAGTGCCCCATGAAAGCATTACTGACTACTCTGGAGCTTGTCTTTTGAGGAGCTGCAGAATTCTTGCAGGTTCTTTACAATACAGACATTACAACAAACTGACTAGAGGAATAGTCTCTTAAAAATAGTCTCTTGTGTATAAAGAGGTCTTTCTCTGGAAGAAAGCATGCAGAAATGGGCACATAACAGTCTGTACTATTGTTTATTTTCCTAACAAATTTCTTTCATCAAAGAGGAAATGGCAGAGCAACTAGCCTCCTATTAGATACAATCATAAAAATTCGAATACATTCAGAGTGTTGGGACAATGTATGATCTATTTATTCCAATGTTGAAATCACAAAGTTGCATGTTTTCGCCATGCACACAATTGATTCAGCCGTTCTAATGATAAAGCTGGTCAAAAAATGAGTTCCATTGATTGTCGGGTGACTTGACATCCATAAAGCCTTTTATAAACATCATTGTTCAAAACTGATTATATGCTTCATGGAATCAATCTGTTTTTTTAAAAGTAAATTTGAATTACTAAACTTTTATCGAGTTTTAAACACAAATAACCAAGATGATTAGGAGCATGAACAGCAAAACTACTTGTCAATGATTAGCAGCATGACAATAAAAGTACTTGTCAATGTTTCTTCATATATTTTATTTTCTCATTTTGCCTTCATATTCTGGATATATTGGTGGAGTTTCATAAATATAATATAATTATGCTTTCTGGAATAAAGTATAGAATTAAGATCATTTGAGAATATTGAAATTATAATCTAGTGACCCAGGACATACTGTCTCTTTATAAAGCAAAATGCATTTCTTAAAAATATAGAACATTCTTTAATTTTTAAATATCTGCACAAATTTTCATTTTATAACTAACAAGTAGAAAGAATTGAAGTCATTTTGCAACATAATAATTACACATAAAAATCTTACTGTGCACTCCAAAATTAAACAAGTGTTCTCATTAAAATCGGTATTTCTAATTTCTTAGACAATTAGATCCATATGCTTATAATTTCATGGAAAAATTGTAAATCAATGCTGTTATCATTTAAAACATTTTAGGCCATTTTCCCTGATTATGAATTTTTTTTTACTTCTAAGGTTTAAATAATTTTTGTTTTTCTGATTTTAGGAAGTTGCCTACAAAGAGGCTAGTTTACTAAATATGTTACTTATATTTTAATAAATAGGATTTTGAGCCTAAAACTAGATCATTTTTCTAGTTCATTACTCAATTCTAAATTTTATTTTCATGCTAGCCAAATTCTTTTCAAATATAGTAGATTAAAGAAACAATATATCATTCTCCTAATCCCCAGTGTATAGAAATATCTGTTATTTAAATATATGATTAGCTGTGTGGTAATTGTTTAGATTTATTTATAATGTATATTTTTGATAAAAACAATGTATTGTACTTTCCAAACAATATGTTTGAGTATACTTCCATTATTACCTTTTAAATTAAATTATGGAAATCTTTGGTGGATGAAAAAATATCTCTACATTAAATGATTTTACCAAAGTCCAAATATCTGATCTCTAGATTTTTTGAAATTCAGCAGGTTTATGCCAAACTTGCATAAATGTTGGGAACCTACCTAATTATAATAAAAAATAAAGCTTAAATCCTTTAATGCGAATATTAATGTATCAACTCAAATTTTGATTTCTAAATGTATAAAATTTTATTTCATTTCTAATTGTGAGGCAGATTGCATTTAAAACTAATGGAGAGTGAGCAATATTTTGCTATTTAATAGAAGAAATTTACTGAATTCAAGGCTTTGTCCATTTATAAATCAGTTTGAAAACAGTTTGTTATTTCATAAAGAATGAACACATCGGCAAAACATAAGTAATTCGTTCACTGTGTTGAGATGGTAGTTTTGAATTCTCAAGCTTGATTTCTATTTTTAAAAGTTATGTGAGGCAAATGTTAAAATTTGGTTAGAAGTAAAGTCTCTTCAGACTCAATCTTGAGAAAATTTAACTAAGTTCATGGGCTTTAAATGCCATATTACTTCTAGCTTTGATTCTTGAGTTTTATATTATGCTAAAAATGTAAATTTATTAAAACTAATCTAATTATTTTATTCTTTGAAAACTATAGTTGGTATTGGGAATTACTCGGTTGTGTTTAATATAAGGTTTATAATTGTTTTTAGACAGTAGCAAATGTAACCTAAAAACCAAATAAATTTTTAAGATAAAGAAGTAGCATCTTTTAAATATTAAATTATTTTATCATATTTATTTCATTTTGCTCCTTATTCCATAAACATTTCCATTAATATGGCTTTCAGATTACAAATACCCAAGCTCACTGTATGTAGAAAAGAGATCTTTTTTATTATGATAAAACCAACAATACTTTAAATTATTGCTCTTGCTAATATTTATTTTACAATTCTTAGGCATTTTGGCTTCTTTAATGTTCTTAATATTTAACTTAAAACAAATTAAATTAAAGTGGAAAAATAAAAGTAGCAAAGAGATTAACTAACAAGGCTCAAAGCATCTATTCTGAAATCTTTAGGCCCAGCCATATGTAAACTGTCATAGGAGTCAGTACCTGCAGACATCACATTGGTGGCATGGTTGGAGACTGGTAGACACTCGGCGGCACTGTGATGCATTATCAGAGGCAAAGTTGCAGAAGCGTCAGAATTCAGAGGTATAAAAGTATCAGCTGAAGTGAAAGATTGGCAACTCATTCCCACAAGAGAGTAGAAAAATAAAGAGAAACACTGCTCCCTAAATCAGAGTTTTATTATATTACTGTCTCAAAGGGCCAATTTAATTCTCAGTACCTGCATATATACATCAGAAAGGCTCTGAGGCACCAGGAGGGCGCGTGCTAGCATTTATACTGCAAGGAAATCCCTTTATACATGTTAATAGTCTTTTCCCAGGAGTATTGCTTTATCAATCTGAACCGTCTTCCTTTCTTCCCCAAACATAATCCATGCCCTAGAAGGAAGCTGGTTCTGGGGTATAGATTGAGGCAAAGAGAGAAATCTGAAACTTTATTTAACAACTTCAGTAATTCAGACCTTATAGAGAAGAATCAAGAATTTTGAAAAAGTGTCCCTCAAAGAATAATGCCACAATGAACTGGTTGTCTTTTTGCTACTAACACAATTGCAAATTTATAAATGTGAGAGGTTTTTCTTTTTTTGTTTGATAACTTCTCATTAAATCTGCAAAATAACATGAAACAAGAGAAGTGCATGCTAGTTTTAAGAAACTGAGAAAAGAAAACTGAAAAAGAAACTGAAAAAGAAAACTGAGAAAAGAAAATTTATATTGAGAGAACCATGTAAGATGAGAGTGAATATGTTGTCAATTACTGATTCACACTGAACAATGCACAGTTTTGAAAAACTGTTATAACAACCAATTTAGTTTTTACTATATTATAAATGGGAAAATATTGAATAAAGTATAGTAATGTATAAAGAAGATGAACATGAATGATTGTATCTTTTCCTTGATTTTAATTTACTTATAAAGAACCAAAATTTAGTAAGCTCTTATTAGATGCTAGCAATATTCTAGGTATTTCTATAGTTATGTCATGCAAATCTCACAACACCTCTGTGAGTTATGAATCATCTCATCCTCACTAAGTTGGGCTGTGCTAGAGGGTGAGATCCTGGCCATTTTGCCACAGAGCCTGAAGTAAACATGGTAGCACTGAATGCAAAATTCTCACACAGATATTCTGACATTATATGAGAATGAAAAATACTACAAATGATTCGAAGATACATATTATCAGCATCAAGATTTTACAACTATCATGATTTATAAACTGAGTGAACTCAATACTATTTATAGAATGTATACCAGGGTAATAGAGCAAACAGAAGTAGCTAAACAGGTGTAGACATTACTGATAAATGAGGACCATGCCACATTAGATTCAAATTTTGTATTATGAAATGTTTCAAAAGAACTTGAAATTGGTTGCTTGGTACTAAGTTTAATGTTAATACATTCTCAAAAAAACTTGAATACTTTGTTAGTAACCAGCTGATATTTTGTAGGAAAGTATGTGAAAAGTTGCCCAAATCACTAGATAGTGAATGAAAAATATTTATTCTAAAAATGACACCTTTTTCCATTCTGATGTCTGTATCTTGAAACTCTATTAGTCTTCTCTAATGAGAGAAGGTTTCAGTTAATCAAAAGTATTTATTTTACTCTTTTTTTTCCTTCCTTTTATTTCATCATATTAGGGAGGTACAAATATTATACTCTTACAGAATTCTGGTAATTTTCAGACTTCACATATACAAAAAAGTGGTTTTTCAGTATGTTTATAAAGAGACTTTTTAAAAGAAATTAAATAAAAATAAGTTTATTGAGTGTTATGTGTTTTAAAAAATTAAGCTAAATGATATTTACAGAGAATAGAATCTGAAAATCACCCTTAATGATTTTACTATTGTTACATAGTCATTGGAATATATTGGGAAAGTATATCAACTTAATGATAGATTATGAGAGAGTACCCTAAAACCTGCCTATCAAACAATACTAAACTTTCTCAGTAATTTATCATGATATGTAAAATTATAAAATTACAATATGGGACAGAATTTCTTTAATAATGGCTTTAGAAAACTAAATATTTGTTATGTGAAATGCAAACCAGAATGTTACAGTTGAAATGGGGTAAAGCTAGGAAACAGCTGTGTGAATTATATAGTTTACTATAATATATCTGTAGGATTGTTTAGAATGTGCCTCTTTGGGATAGATTCTTAGACATGGAATCATTGAGTTTAAGTCTTACAAACTTTTTTATCATTTCAAAATCATTACCAATTTACTTTTCAAATAATTTGTTTTCTTTTGATATTGGTTTCAAATATCAGGAACAAGTTGAGCCAAAAAGAATTGTCTATTATCAGGAGACATGGAAGTTTCTTGGAACTCACAGAAAAGGAAGTCAGGGCAGAGGGAAGGACTGAACAGGAAATGGGAAGCCCTTTGGCGCAACCATCTGATTCTTCCATCTGCCTTTTTCTGTGTCTCTCACTTTTCTTACCCTCTGTAGAATAGCTTAGGCCAATTCCCCATCCATAATCACCTCACAAATCTCCAGATCATGCCTTAAAGTTTCAAACAGGCAGAGACTATCTTGTAGCTTATCAGTCTACATTTATGAGAAAAACGTTTCTAGTGGCCACAGCTACTGGTGTGTCCCAGAGGCACAAACACGGTTCCTAGAAGCCCATGCTTCTGAATGGGTGGGTTCGCCCTATGTGTTTGAGCATTTGTAGACAAAGAGGGATAGACTATTGCCTGGGAAGGCTTCTGTAAAATGTGACAGTTATATCATCTTATCTTACATTAGCACTAATAGTGTGAAATTGACAGTTGTCTTGTATTCTTGTGAATAATAAAGTCTAAATACTAAGGCTTTGTTAATCTGCTGAACAATGGCATTTTATTATTTTAATCTGCATTTTGATTACTAATATGCTATCTTTTCATATTATATTATTATAGCTTTTTGTATTTATCGCTTTGTTAATAAACTGATTCTATTTAAATGCCATTCTGACAGTTTTATTATCCATTTGTGTGTTTTGTAAATATATTAACAATGTTAATTTTCATCATCTTATGATTAAAATTTTCCTAATTATTTGTTTTATAAATTTATACTGGTCTTTGACATACATAATGTTTTATGTAAGAGCTAAACATGTTGATCTTTTTCATGTGTATTTCTTAATGATTTTAGAATTTAAAGTCCTCCCATATGCAAAGGTTTATTTAGTTTTTAGTTTTGTTTTATTTTGGAGCCTTAAAAGAAGTTCCTCTTGACATTTTAAGCTGCCATATTAATTATATTTCTAGAACTCATTTATAATTGCTTAGATAATAATGAAAATTGTAGCTTAATTTGAAAGCTATCAGATAAATAAGAAACAAATCTACTTTAAATTAAGGCAATAAAAGAGAATACACAGAAGAAAAGTAGTCCCGGTCAGGCGTATTTGTTAGCCTGATTCATTAATTGTAACTGTTGTTCAATTAAGCAAAGAATTTTTTTAAAAATACTCTGAGGTTTGAAAGAATGATCACATTTTGAGAAAAATATATAAGCCCAGAAAAAATATCCTGTTGAGAAATAATACCCACATCTATTTATCTCTAGGTTACAGAGTTTAAAACTTGTTTTTCTTTTTCATATTTATGTTTTCTAATTTTTCAACAGTTTTTACATGAGTTCAGAAGCAGTATAGTACATTCAGCATGTAGATAGATCCTGGAGCTCACTATCTGGGCAAAAACCCAAACTTTATACCTTAATTGCTATGTAATGATGGGCAAGTAATTCACCTTTCAGTGTTTCAAGTTATTTTATCTGTAAAATGGAGACTAATATTACAGTCACGTAGAAAAATGCCTGGCGGGTAATAAGCTTTCAATAAATGTTAGCAATTAGTCATATGCAAAGCTTTATAATAATACTTGTTTATGCTTATTTAGTCTATGTGCTGTATATATATATATATATACACACACACACACGTATATATATATATACACATATGTTATCTCATTTGATCCTGGTTAGGTAGGCACTATTGTACAGACTGGGAAACTGAGGCAGACAGCTTAAATTCTTGCCAAAGGTCATGCAATTAAGTGGTGAAACGAGTATAGGAATCCAAACCACTTAAAGCCTGAGCAAGCTATACCGTACTTTCTTCTATTGTACAAGGAAAATCTATATTGATATAGAGATTTATCTAACTCTAGTTCTATATGCCTATGTATCTCTATATTTTGTTTGTCACCTAGCTTCAGAGAGAAAACATGGAAAGATGGCTGATTCTCTAAAAGATATGGTATTCTCACACCTTTTCAGCATTCACATCTCTATATAAGCCTGTATTCGTTCCTAGCTATATTACATGAATGATATGGGCACTTACTTCTTGTAGATAATGAACTGAAGCTGCTGAATAATTTAACCCTATTCAATAATATATTCAGATGGTGCAAATAATTCTTTTTTCCACCAACTTGTAATTCAAATCATTTTGAACTGATTACAAGCTGTGGGAAAAAATACACATATGTGTGTGTGTGTGTGTGTGTATACATAATGTGAAGAAGAGGGAATTGAGCTTGGGAACTCCCATTAGGATAACAAAGTGAATATGAACCTAAAATAATTTATTCAGTTAGCTTAAGTGGCAATAAAATGGAGTATTCTCGCAACTCATAACTTTTGAAAAGATGATGAATTTTTCTCAAAGCAGATTTTTAAGGAAAAGATTATACAGCCATATGGCTTGAAAGGGGACTCTGTCACATTGGAAAAAGACATTATTTAAAGCACATATCAGTCATGCATGCCATGTTTGACTCTTTATTGATTGTGAAAGCAGCAATGAATGTATGTATTATGCAGTTCATTCCTGCTTTAATTCTTTCCTATCCAGAAATCAAGGTTCTTTATTGCCCTAGGAAGAGATAATGCCAACCGCTTGCAACCTTGCTGAAGATGAATGCTCTCTTAATGCTGTCTAAAGGGTAAGTTTGTAACTTATGGAAAATAAACGTCAAGGTGAGACATTGACTTAGAAATGATGCTTGCCCATAAGGGCTACATCCCTGTTGTACTATAGCTCATGGGTAGATTTATCATTTGTCTCACTCACTTAAATAGATCCAGTCTTATCAAAACAATGTACTGCTGTGCCTGAGTTAATTTAGTTGGCAAACCTCTTTGCTCTGAATTTCCTTACATCACATTAATAGATAATGCAT